TTAAAACTTCTTACACTACATTTTTAATACACAAGAGAATACACAAATAACAACTTGTATTTATGTATCTGTGGCAGCAAACAATAAAATGGCGACCGCAGATAAAGCTATAATGTTACATGAATATGTGAAGAAATTAGAGAAATGTAGTAAAGGGTAAAGTAATGTATGGCACTCGACAGTAAAAAGTATTTATTTGCTCGCAAAAATTCGGCTCCTATTGTCGCCTCGGGGTTCAAACGTTTCTCTCTCAAATAAAATCTTATTTTACTCACTTATACCACAAATAACTTTTATATTTTTGAAAATTCAGTTATTTTTGTGTTCTTTACCTACTTCCACAAAATAAATTTCGATTTTCGATGAAGCTTTCATGCGCTTTTAGCCTATGATTTATTTATGAAAAACACAACGGGTTTTCAAATTCATTACGGTTTATTTGAGCTATGCCAAAAACCGCTTTCAGTTCTATGATTTTTTAAGAATCTTTTAATTTCTTGGTTACTAGAGCTCAATATTGAACATTCTGGTGGTGTCATTGATTACGACAATAGGAAAACTTAATAACACAATGACCTCTTCTACATATTCTCCGTTATTTTTCCAGTATGCTGATATTGTTCAATCGTCTTTTTCCAGATTCCTTTTGTGTTTTACAATCGATAACTAATTATCCGAACCTCATTTACCCGAACTGATTTTTGGAGAATATTGTAATTAAGATGAATTGTGATGAAGAATGATATTGTGATCAAAAATATTGCGACATAGACTGATCGGCCGAGTAGCGCAATCCTAGGAGCAAAATAAAATCATTTTAACCACGTGTGTCATACACTATTTTTTACTTTCCCTCCTTCTATTTCAATTCGAGTATAATCGCTTAATGGGCTTCCTTGTTATATTAAGATCAGTTGTAGCTGACCAGTCGAAGATATTGTTGTTTTTTTTTGTTGCATTAACAGTTTTTATCTGAACATTTAAGCTTTGTATCACTAGTGCAGAAAATGGAGCTTTTTGCACGGTTTTTGCACGCTCCAAATCGTTTTTCCTTGGGGCTGTCTAAAAGTGTAGGTACTGAATTTTGACATACTAATTTCGTTTTTGATATAATTTATTATTAATATATTTTTTCTTGTTTTGTAAGTCTAATATTACAGTACATGTAGTTTTATATTCCTTATTTCAATTAATTTAATTTCATGTGTGAGTGTGTTTCTGTCACTGGTGTCTATTTTTTTATTATTATAACATTAACTAATCATCCTATTTTCCCCTCCTCCAAACCGCGCCGATCCTCTAATGGTTCGGCTAACTGCAGCTATAGCTGCGGGTCAGTGACCCTCATCTTGATCAGGTTTTTGTCCAGTTTCCCTGATACATTGAGCAAATGCATAGATGGCCCCTTGTTTGGCTTCTGGGCGTAAATGTAGCGTCCCTATGCGCACGTTTTATTGAATTCTCCTTTTGCTTGTAGTGGTAGGGTAAAAGTAAGGACCAGTTACTATTTTGTTAGCAATGTAGAAAATATAATCTGCAGTTCGTTTACCGTTGGAAATACGTTTTCTGTAACTCGGAAACGAAAATGTCTAGTTTTTCAAATGTCGCTAATCTCGCGCTATATTATTATTATTATTATTATTATTATTATTATTATTATTATTATTATTATTATTATTATTATTAATTTATTGTTAACTTTTATTCATTTTCCAACTATTTATAGTTGAAATGATGGGAAGGGATTCTGGAACTCAAGAAAACGTGCGCATATGAACTTCTCCCCTATAAGTCACATCCAGTGTTACATGTTTTTTGCCTAAGAATCTAAATCTAAAAGGCGTGCGTAGCGCTGAGCTAAGAGCGTGGGTGTGCGGTGTGC